TATATATATATATATATATATATATATATATATATATATATTTATATTTATATTTATATAATATTTATTATAATATATATATTTTTTATATATATTTTTGTGCCATATATTGCAGATTGTACGTTATGTTGAAGCAGAAATCCCAAGATCTGTGGAAGAACAATTGACTGAATGGATGGCGATAGTCGATAAAGAACAGAGACGATTAATTAAGCCTGAGGATATTGCTAAAATTTCTTATCTCAAGGACCAGTACATTAGCGATGAACATTTACAACCATACAGATACACTGATATTGAAGCAGCAAAAAAGTACATTACTGGTAAATTGCGAGAACGCGAAGAGTAAGTTAACATTTCACAGAATCAGTTTTGCAAAATTACTCGTCAGAACTAAATTTAGATTATTTATACATTTGACGTGTCTTATCGATTGCGATAAATTTATAAGAGGTGTTTTTTATTAATCAGCAGGATATGTATTACAGTTTCAACAAGATAATGGAAGAACTGGAACTGGAAATAATAAGTAACTACAAGCAAGGTCTGCGATCTGCGATAGTGGATTATATTCTCATGGATCCCAATGAACGGAAACGTTTGTCTATTGAAACGCTGCCTGTCGAATTCCCTCTTCTGTGCATTCGCGCACCGGTACCTTGGCATCAGTCTAAGATCACAGCGGATCACTTGATGCGACACAGTCTTTTCATTAACAATAAAATATTGAGAGATATCCGCGACTTGTGGTTTTTGAAGTAAGATTGTGCGATCAATGAATACGAATTATTAATAATGATGAATGATTGTTAGGCAATTTTAAATATCTGAATCTACATACAATCTTTTGTCTTAGGTATCGTGAGATAAGAATAATTCGCATGCAAGATTTCGGCACATTTCCCGTGCCGGCTGTGGAAATTGAGCCGCGGCTAAATTCCTTGTGTGCCGCTGCCTCTGATTTCCTCGTTAAACAATGGCTAGCCGATGTGGCGGAAATATTTCTGGAAAAAAAGTACGTCTGGTCGCAGTACTTTGACACACATCCTAGCGCGTCCACCGCTTGGATAGAAAAGTACTTTCGCAGTGTTAATTCTCTTTTGTCGAGGCAATTGCGAGTCATGATAATGGAAACGTTGGAAGACGTGAGAAGTTTTTTCATGCGCTACAGAGCTGGCAACGCGTTCGAAGGAGATTACGAAGATCTCATGTTCCTTGAGTAAGAATCGACGATTTGTTTCTTTTTTAAATAAAGTTAGAAAAATCATAATTAATTTTGTTATACATATATATACAAAGTTTCTAAAAACAAATAGTGTGCTGTATACAATGGTGACATCAATGGAAAAATAGTACGCATTACATTGTAGAACTCCTTTCATAACAGTGAAAGTGGAGCCAGAACTCGGTACAACGAATTTGCACTGCAGACCGAATATATTTGAATTACATACTACGATTTCTCGATGTTTCGACAAGATTATCAAAGTAGGCGCTACGATTCCCAAAATCGAAACCATCCTGTTTCCAGAATTGGAACACGTCGGCTGTCTATTCTCTATTTCGCGATACGAAGATACGGTAAAAAGAAACTGCCAGTCGAGTGATGTCACTCAATTAACATCTTTTCACATTGTTACAGGTACTAAGCATAATTAGTGACGTATTGGACGTGATCATTAAACATATCAATGGACCCGATAGTTACCTCAAGTGCTACAGTAACTTATTGTATATCACGAGTGGTGTAGCCGAAGAGAAACTAGATCATTTCTTTTCGCTCGAGCCGACACCATTGTTACGAGAATTCGAGCAACAGATAAGAGCGTACGACGCTTTGCGAAAAGAGATATCTATGTTTAGGTGTAAGGTGAGTTCATGATTAAATTTCGAATTGAAACGATCCACAGACAAAGAGCGAATAACTCTTCGTAACCAAAAATATTAATCTAAAATCGCACTTTGATATTTCGCTCTTTAACTTAATACAATTTATCAAAATTACAGTTTTCTGCACTAAAAGAGTGCTATATATAATAGTAGTAGTAGTATTTATTCTCTTCAGCTTACATAAAATAGCTGAGAAGGGGACTTTCCTGAACCCTGCCTAGCTATCCGGAACTATCTTTCTTCCTTCTACCTCCTTCTCAAGTTTATTCCTCAAAACTTTAGTGTAGATTTTATAAGCCCTATATAACAAAGATATCCTTCGGTAATTTCCTGCTTTTTCTTTACCTCCTCTCTTGTAGCAGCACTATAATACTCATCTTCAAATTCTTCGGAATCCTACTTTTTTCCAAACGGAAATATTATAAAATTATTAAATATTATAAATATTTTTAAAATATCAACCAATTTTTGCTTTATAATTCCTCACCCGTATGTATCCAAGCCTCCTTCGGAATACCATCGAATCCAGTTGCCTTCCTCAATTTCATTTTCTTCACGACTGCCTTAATTTCCTCCTCCTCTATCATATCGTCTCTTCTTCATCTATATTTATCCTTTCTTTACATCCTTCCGATCCATCCAGGGGCTCCATAAAATGTATTTTCCACTTTTCCTTTCCTATCTTATTATCATAATAGTCCTCTTGCCTCTCTTCTTATTCATATACCTCCAAATCTCAGCTTCATTCCGAAATGAAGACTTCAAGATTTTTTCCTTCATTTCTCTTTTTTTCTTTCATCTTCCTCTCCATCAGCTCTTTGAAATTCCTTTTTACCTCTAAGTACTTTTCCGCTTCTACTTTCTCATCTCTCCACTTCTTATAGATTCGCCTCTCTTTTCTTCCTAGTACAGCCCTTATCCCACCAGTTATTGTCCCACCAGTTTGTGCTTTAATTCCTCCCTCTTCCTTTTATTTATCTGCTTTTTTATCGTTGCATTGCTTATTATTTTCTTAATTCTCCTCCATTTGTCATCCACTGTTTCCGCCTCCCTTTCTCCCATCTCCATACATTCACATAACACCTTTGTCATTTCTTGATACTTTTGAATTGCTTCCTTATTCCATATTATTACTTCTAACTTTCCCTCCTCTTCATCTTTTTCTTTTTCTTGTTCCTCTGTTCGAATTTCTCTTCCTTTCTCCGTATACTCTATTTTCAGCAGTAAATTATCCGAGTTCACCTTTTCTCCTATTCTGAAATTCCTTATCGCCTCACTTACTATAATATAATCTATAACCGAACTGCCTCTGGCTCCTATATATTCTCTTTCCCAATCACCCTCTGTCGCTCCATTTAACACGTACTGACCCTTTTCCTTTACTCACTCTAATAAATTTTTGCCTCCATTTCCTATTGTCTTATCTTTACTGTATCTTACTACTTCCCCTTCCTTCCAGTCATTATATTTGCTAATTCTCCAATGCTTATATTAAAATCTCCCCTAATTATTATATTTCCATTTTTGCTTTCTATTCCTTCTTCTTCCATAAACTTATTTATAATAAGTTACTTTATTTTTTTCTCCTAATTTTTTGCCTCCCCTCTCCCTGTATCCCATATACCCCAAACACTGATATAATTTTCACCTTCTTTTTTCCTTCATCAACAGTCATCATAATCAATCCTTCTTCTTCCTTAATCAAACTTAACTCCTTCCTCCTATTATTTTTTCTTTTCTATTATAAATCCTCCTTTTGCTCTCCCTTTCTTCTTCTCTTTTACTGCAAAACTATATTCCCACTCGTGTGTTTTGGGTAATCTTTCCCAATCTTTTTCTTCCACCCACGTTTCACATAAACTAATAAAATTAAATCCTCCTATATATTTTCAAAACTCTTTGTCCTTATTTCCTATATCGGCCACATTTCAAAATAACGTTTTTCTCTTAGTAAATTTTCTCTTCTCCCTCCTATACCTTCCTTCTATCTCTTCCCTCTTCCTCTTTTCCTTGTATTCCCTTCTCGGCTTAGCCAAAATTTTGCTCCCTCTTGCCTTCTCTACTCTTACCCTCTCCTCTTCTGCAGCTTTTTTCTCCTCTTCTTCATTTTTTATCTTTGCCTATGTCCTTCATACGTTACTTATCCTCACTCTTCTGAATCCTATCTTTACCTCCATACTTTTTCCTTTTTGTTTCTTTACCCATCTTACCATCTATTAATTTTCTACTGCACTTTTCTTTCTTCCCAATTTAAGTCGTTTTCTATAAAGATTTTATCTTCTTTTAATTTATATTTATTCCTCATTATTTCTTTCTTCACTTCCTTATTTTCCAGTTTCACAATTATTACTGTTCCACTCTCTCTCTGCAGTTCAGCACCGTGCAATCTACCCCTATCCTCTCCTTTATTAAACTCCTTGCCCATACTCTTCGCCTATTTTTGTCTCTTGCTACTTCCTCCGGCAATTTTATTCCTTTAACTATCACATTTTTCTTCCTCTTCTCTCTATTCTTTTCATTCATCCATTTTTTTTAGTTTACCTATTTCTCTATTATTCAATCTACTTCCACAATTGCTATTCAAACTCATTTTATTCTCATTTAACTCTCCCCTACTAACAATACTTCTACCTCCTTTCAAATCATCTTCCCCTCGTGATTCTTCTGTATCTGTATCTTTTCTTACCCTCTTTCTACTCTATTTCCTCCAAACTCTCCTCTAATTCATTTATCCTCTCCCCATATTCCTTTACCCTTTCTTTTAACCTATCTAACTTTGAACTATCCTTTTTCCTATCCTCTTCCAGTATCTTTACCTCCTTCTTTATTAACTCTATTAATTCTTTTTTCATTTTATTTCTATCTTCCTTCTCTTCATTTTCTCCATCTAACCCACAGATGTCTATACTAAACTAGATTGCTAACAGGCTATCTAAAAGCATGTAACGGTTTGTGCCCGATAGAGTTTCCGGTGCATGCGAGAAAATGGCCGCTACCGCCACATATTTTCACTACGCTTAGTCGTAAAATTCTTTTGTTGAAAATGAGCAAAGCAAATAACGTCCAATACCATCTATTTTTTTGTTATGATTTTTTTTTAATGCAATAAGATGCTGGCATTTTTGGTTTTACGACAGTAATTTAATGGCCACGCTGACTCACATTGTATGTGTAAGTACTCACACAAGTGACACGTCACACACACAGGACCGCCGCCATTTTCTCGCATGCAACCGAAAACCTTACGCGATACACGTTCAAAGTCCTTGTTAGCAATCTAGTTTAGTATAGACATCTATCCAGATAGCCAAATCTGCTCAAGCAAATTTTGCCCAACACTTGACTACAAATTTTGCTGCCAAAATGTCAAATGTCAAATGTCAAATGTCAATCAAATTGGACACAACATCTGCTAAATCAAAGGTTGTTAGCAAATTGGCGCCAAATACCGAGCAAGGTTTGTGCGGTGCAGTTTGGCACCAAACTTTGCTCGGTATTTGGCGACAATTTGGGGTCAGATTTTGTCACCAAGCTTTGCTAACAAAACCCAAGCATATTGCGGACGCAGATGGCATCGGATTTGCCGTCAAGTTTTGATCATATTTGGTATCAATTTGGCTTAACCCTCTTACCCCTAAATCCTCCTGAAAACCAACTTTCTCCTTCTCGCCCGCCTCTGTTTTCACTTGCACATCTTCTCTACCTTGCACGCAATCTACTCCTTATAAATTTACCTTACTAATTACTTTGCTTACTCTAAATAATCGTACTTAATCTCACGCTTCGCTCATCCGGATATTCGCACGCCACCAAGCACGCCTAACCAAGTCTCCCAAAAGAATGCTATATGTATTCTTTTTTCATAGATTGTCATTGCATCTCAAAATGCATAATGTGAAAAAAGTAATTCGAATGATATTTTTTTAATACAGATTCCGCTGAATATGATCGAGATAGATTGCAACATCGTAAACAACACGATGCGAGAAATACTGCACGCGTTTCGAAATAGAATATGCGACTTTTTTGCGGATGAGCTGCGGTCCAACAACCGCGATTTGTGCTCGAACTTCGACGAGATCGCGGAAAAGATTTCGATGATGCCAGAAACAACGCAGGATGTCGTCGAGTTGTATAACTATTTATGCGAGAGCCGCGACACGACAATGTTTAATCTGAAGAGACGTTTAGCCCGCTCAATCGAACTGATATTATTTCTTTTCGATTACCAGCCGCTCTCAGACGAGGATCTACACTTGAACGCGCGTGCCATCACTTGGCCGAAGGAAATGGACACCGTGATGGAGTTGGCAAGCAAGAGATTGCTCATGAGAAGAGACTTCTCAGAGTCGGCGCTTCGCACGCGACGCGACAACTTCGATAAGAAGATAATTACGTTACAACAGGCTATTGATCAGTTCAAGCGGAAGGATCCGCCGGTTCTCACGATGGAGGAGATGGAGCAGGCTGCAGAAGAGATCGAGCAAATCTCTAAGACCATGGCGGACATCCGCAAAGAAGCTGAAGAGATCAATGTGGAGGAGGGACTGTTGGACATGGAATTGAGCCCATATCTGGAGCTACCGACAATGTCCTCCACAGTAGACATCTTTGATAGACTCTGGCATATCGCTCGAGGCTTCCATAAGAACTATGATACGTGGTGTTATGGGCCGTTTCTGGGTGTAGATGCGGAAAAAGTGCGCGAGGAAACTGAAGAAACGTGGCGAACACTCTACAAAATGTCACGCATACTTGCCGACGTACCGGGAGCGAGACGCGTTGCTGAGATGGTGCGCGGCAAAGTGGAGAAGTTTCAGCAATTTATTCCCGTGCTGCAGATCATCTGCACGCCAGGTCTACAAGCACGACATTGGCAAGCTATTAGCGAGATCGTCGACATGCCAATAATGCCGACGGACACTACTACTCTGTCGGATATGATTGATTGCGGTCTGATTGTGCACGTCGCCAAGTTGGAGGAGATCTCCTCTTCGGCCACCAAGGAATACGTTCTACAAAGGAGCTTGCAGAAGATGAAGGAGGAATGGTTGGAAGTGTACTTCGACCTGATGCCTTATCGCGAGACTGGCGTGTCCATATTAACCGCCGTAGACGATATACAGACGTTGCTGGACGATCACGTGCTCAAAGCGCAAACCATGAGGAGTTCGCCTTTTGTCAAGGCGTTCGAACGGGAGATGCAACAGTGGGAAGAGAAATTGATAATGATGCAGGATATTGTCGATCAGTGGTTACTCTGTCAGGCCACGTGGATGTATCTAGAGCCGATATTCAGCAGCGAGGATATAATGCGGCAGATGCCGACCGAGGCACGGGATTTCCGCAAGATCGACAAGACATGGCGGCGTATTATGACGCACGTGGCAAGCAACAGACGAGTGCTCGAGGCTACCACATTCCCGAATATGCTGGAAGAATTCAGGACATGCAACAAGTTGCTTGAGGAGATCCAGAAAGGTCTGAATGAGTACCTGGAGAAAAAGCGATTGTTCTTCCCGCGACTCTTCTTCCTATCGAACGACGAGCTGCTAGAAATCCTGTCCGAAACCAAAGATCCGCAGAGAGTGCAGCCGCATTTGCGAAAATGCTTCGAAGGTATCAGCAAGCTGCGCTTCACGAAAGACGAAGAAATCATCGGTATGTTGTCGGAAGAAGAAGAGTACGTGCCTTTGAGCGGTAAGATCTACCCGGCCGACGCGAAAGGTATGGTGGAGAGATGGCTGAGCCAAGTGGAGGAACTTATGGTGATTTCGATGCGCGACATCGCCGAGGAAAGTATAATCGCTTACTTCACAGCTGTGCGCGAAGAATGGGTACTCTCTTGGCCCGGTCAAATTGTCATCTGTAGCAGTCAGGTGCATTGGACCAGCGAGGTGTACGAGTCCTTTGAGGATCGAAGCACATTGTCCTATTTACACAAATGCAACGACCAGATACAGCATATCGTGGATCTCGTACGCGGCAAATTAGACCGCGGTGCCAGGATCACGTTGAACGCCTTGATAGTGATAGATGTACACGCCAGAGACGTGGTGAAGCTCTTAGTGGACACAAACGTTACAAATCCCTTAGACTTCAACTGGATATCACAGCTTCGTTATTACTGGATGGACGATTGTATCATCGTTTCTATGGTCACGACCGACATCATGTACGCTTTTGAATACCTCGGCAACACATCTCGCTTGGTCATCACGCCGTTGACCGACCGATGCTACAGAACCTTGATGGGCGCGTTGAAGCTGAACTTGGGCGGCGCGCCAGAAGGACCGGCGGGTACCGGCAAAACGGAAACGTCCAAGGATCTCGCGAAAACTGTGGCCAAGCAATGCGTAGTTTTCAACTGCTCCGACGGCCTCGACTACAAGGCAATGGGCAAGTTCTTCAAGGGCATCGCGCAATCCGGTGCATGGGCCTGCTTCGACGAATTCAACAGAATCGAATTGGAAGTATTATCCGTGATCGCTCAGCAGATATTATCGATTCAAATGGCCATAAGCATGAAGTTGGAAAAGTTTATGTTCGAAGGCACCGAGTTGAAGCTAAATCCCACTTGCAATATTATCATAACAATGAATCCGGGTTACGCCGGGCGTCAAGAATTGCCGGACAATCTCAAGGTGCTGTTCCGTACAGTAGCGATGATGGTGCCCGACTATGCAATGATAGGCGAGATTTCTCTGTACTCGTACGGTTTCATTGACGCGAAGAACCTTGCTCAGAAGATCGTCCACACGTACAAGCTGTGCTCCGAGCAGCTGAGCTCGCAGAATCACTACGATTATGGTATGCGAGCCGTCAAGACGGTGTTAATAGCTGCCGGCAATCTGAAGCTCAAATATCCAGCAAGCAACGAGGCCACGCTGGTTCTCCGTGCGATTGTCGACGTCAATCTGCCCAAGTTCTTGTCCCAGGATGTGTTCCTTTTCACCGGTATCTACACAGATCTTTTCCCGGATGTGGACCTGCCCCAGCCGGATCGCGGCGATCTCGTGGATCTCGTCAAGACGAATCTGGAGAAGCGAAATCTACAGGCCACCCCGTGGTACATAGAGAAGATTGTGCAGATCTACGAGATGATACTGGTACGACATGGGCTGATGTTGGTCGGTGCGGCGTTGGCCGGCAAGACACAAGCTTACCAAGCATTGGCTGATTCCTTGGGCGACCTGTCGACCAGACGAAAGGCCATGGTACGAGAATTTCGCACGACTTACCGAGTGATTAATCCCAAAGCCATCACCTTGAATCAGTTATATGGCAGCTTCGATCCGTTGTCCCATGATTGGAACGACGGTGTGTTGGCTAAAACTTTTCGTGAATTCGCCCAATCTGTGTCGTTGGATCGCAAATGGATCGTGTTTGACGGTCCCGTGGACGCGATCTGGATCGAGAGTATGAACACCGTGTTAGACGATAACAAAAAACTCTGCCTAATGTCGGGTGAGATCGTGCAAATGTCCGCTAAAATGAATATGATGTTCGAGCCGGCTGATCTCGAGCACGCCTCGCCGGCCACTGTCAGCAGATGCGGCATGATCTACATGGAGCCATCTCAATTAGGCTGGACACCTATCTTCGAATCTTACAAGAAATATCTGAAGGAGAAGCTATTAATTGAGCAGTTCGGACTCATCGTGGAGTTGGTTGAATGGCTCACCAATCCGATCTTCAATTTTATCCAACACAATTGCAAGACATTCGTAGCTATGTCGGAGAATCACATGTTCCTGGTGAGTGTAATGAAAAATCGAAATTATTCGATTTACATTTGTTTCGTTGAATTTATTTTAATTAGTTTGTTGCTAATTTTAATTAGTAGTTTGATTTATGATAAAATAGATTGAGGATTTATATTAATATAAAGATAATATTAAGTTAGTTTTTCATTCATCAGTTAGCAAAAAATTTCTCATACCAATACAAAATTAAAATCGAAATTATATATTTTTTCAAAATAGATTTTGTTAATTAATATCTCGACATAGCTTTTGCATATTTTTTGCTTTATTCCGGAAAAAGAAATTCTTCATTTTCTTTAATATTGAAAAGATTCGATTCAATAATTTTATTTAAATTCAACTTAAACTGAGAAGAAGAGAGAAATGACAAATCTGTTGTACTAATTTGATATTCCTATTGTATGACAGTCTTTCACGAAAGTATTCAGTATGATGTTGGCAGAGGAGACGCAAGTGAGCACGGTATGGCTACAATGCGTATTAATATTCAGTATGGTATGGGGTATGTGTTCAACCTTAACGAGCGACAGTAGAAAAATCTTTGATGTATATCTGCGACAATTGCTGCTCGGTAATATTGAGGAACAACCTAAGCCGAAGGCGTTCAAACTGACGAAGCAGCAACTATTCCCTGACAAAGGTACGGTGTACGACTGGATCTACGACAAGAGAAACAATGGATGTTGGATATCTTGGATGGACACTATGCAACAGGTATTGAAAAAGTAGAGAAGAGATAAATCATGTATATCTAACAAATGATAAGATTAAAAGGAAAATCGATAGTTTCACTTTTACATATATTTCTGAAAACCGCGCACTCGTGAAGCACAATGTTACTCACTATTAAAAGATAGATATCAAACAAAATTACTAATAAAATTAATAATAAAGAGAAATACTAAAAAACGATTAGTAAAAAATATAATTTCCAACAAAAATCTCTTCACAAATATAGATAAATCGATATATATATACAGGGTGTAAAAAAATTAGACAGACAAACTTTGAGGAGAAATAGAGGACATAAAAACAAACATATTTTGTTAATAATGTTTTTCTCTACGACGCTTCGTTTCAATATTACAGAGTACAAAATAGGAATTTTATGATTTTAATAAAAAAAAGCATATAAGTGGAAAAATTAAATTTAT